CCTGTCTTCTTGGTTAATTTCTCAGTAAGGTGCTTTAGAAAAATCTGGCATTCTGCCCCCATGCCTCCATTTGTACCAAAAACTAAGGGCGTAAAAGTTCCCATATCGACATCGATTACTCTTTGCTGGTACTTTCTCTTTTTTTCGCTTTCTTGATCTTTGAAGATTGTAGAAGTGGATTTGTTTTGGTTGCTCTTGGAATTAACATGCGATACTCTTACATCAAAAAATGCAGTTACTCCCGGTGCCCAAAACGATCCAGCTTTGATGTCGAGCCTTGCATCCTGACTTGTGCTAGTAGATTTTAGATTAAATTGTTCGCCATCCAATGGGATAAGCTGTGGCTCCTTTTGAACGTTGTTGCAAACCTTGTTTAAAAATATGGCAAGTAGATCACGGACATTATCATGTCTTTGTGCAACAAATCCTCCCTTTTTACAAGATAGTGCATGGCTTACCGAAAAGGTTGTCCCACAAGTGTAGGTACTTGGTAAACCCGATAACGGTATATTATAATGCAGACAAAGAGAATCTCTGAATTCTTGCTTATTCAAAGTAAGTCCCTGTTCTTTAATTGGTATGGCATTGAGCCATGAGCTTGCTCCTTTGTCTCTTGCTTGGGTTACTTGACGGAGTATGTCAGGTGGTATAATAGTTATAATAATAATGACGATGATGATGATGATGAGAATAAGAATAATAGTATTCTATTACATAATGCTCGCTGCTCCAACTCAGTTAAAAATAAGTATGGGAAAAAATATTGACCAGCGGCTGACGGAAGTCATCGTGGTGAAGCCTCATCAAACAGGATATACGCGAACCACACGAATTTTTGGGTGGGTGGGAGTGGCGTTTTGCACTCCACGGTTTGATCCGCTGGTAGGAACTGAGTGGGAGGTTAAAATTTAAGGCGTATTGATACTTCAAAATGTCCACCTTTTAAATACCAATGTGCCACGGGCACTCTCAAGGGAATTAAGTACTCATTTTTTCTTCGCATGTTGCAACGAGCATTAAGAATAGTATTCTATTACATAATGATCGCTGCTCCAACTCAGTTAAAAATAAGTATGGGGGAAAATATTGACCAGACAACCGATGTTCACCATCAGGGTTATACCATTCCACTAACCCTTCACCCATTAATTAATCCCAATCTTATTCCCCTTACTAATCATAATACCCTCCAGACTAGACGTATATCATAATCTTTTATTCAGTGTGCTCTCTTTTAGCTGGGTTTTCCACAGGAAAGGCACATACAAAGCGTTTCAACTCATTCATATATTCCCACGCCGTGGTAATAGGACTTTCATCTCGCGAAGCTAGTTTTTCAGATGCCCCCGAGGGATTTAGAACCTTGGCTAATTGCATGTAATAAAGGGCAGTATGACGTCTTGTCCACCCCACATGCTCCATGAGTTCAGAAAGCTCTGCACCCGAGAGAGCCAGGGTAATGTCACAACCTGACCGGAAACCATGCAGTGTTTCTCCTTCATCTGCTCCCATTTGTTTTAAGTACGACTTCAGGCGGGCTTCTGCTGTAGTGGAACTCAATGGAGAATCTGCAATATACCACCGTTAGGGGTGGTTGGGCGAAACAAGTAACCCGTAGTGAGCCTGATACCAATTTGTTTGGCTATCGCCATGTATCTCTCAATTCCCGCCACTGGGCAAATAGTCGTCTGAGCATTATGTCGAATTCCAAAAACATTGCTGTCCCCATCTCTCAAAGTTTTCCCCCCATATATATATTATATGTAAATAGCCAACCACCCCATTGGATTCCAAACCATGTTCGGCTTTGTTGATCCAGAAGCAAGTGATCATACCCAGACTTGTCGTCCAAGGTTGTTTGAAAAGAGTTTTTGAAGACATATCGGGGTAAGTTGGTCAAGTGATCTAGAGAAAAAGGACTGTCGCACATCCATAGGTTAAGGAAGCGGGCATCGTGACAGAGGCATGGTTTTGAGGGTTCGACAGTG